TGTAGTCCCAGCTACTCCGGAGGCTGAGGCAGGAGAATGGCGCAAACCCGGGAGGCGGAGCTTGCAGTGAGCTGAGATCCGGCCACTGCACTCCAGCCCGGGCTACAGAGCAAGACTCCGTCTCAAAAAATAAAAAAAAAATAAAAAAAATAAAAGCATCTCCAAATATAGGTAGTCTCAAAGTTTAATACTATAAGTGGAATAGAATTATAATTTATGTGAAAGACATCTTCAACTATCTTCTAATTTTGAATGTTCCCACCGTGTTTGAACACCATTTTATACAGTCATAATTCTGTGTTTATGTCAGAATTACGTCTTTACTATCAAAAACAACCTGTTAGGTTGACTGTTTTCCTGAGTTGCATCAAGTTCTATAACCGTTTCAAATAAATGTATTAATTATTAATGTGATAAATGCATTAGATTTTCTTGTTATAGAAATGTGGGAGGTTCATTAGTTATGTTCATTGACCATAATCACATGTTTTCCCCATTGAATCCCATTGTCTAAAGTATAATAAATAATGCACTTGATATGGTGATGCTATAAATCATTTGTTTTTTATTTAGGGCTTATTAAAACTACTAGAAGGCACAATAGTCAATGTTCCAGAAAAGAATTCCCGAAAGCTCCGTGGAGAAACAGTACAAGTTGATACAACAAACATCCTGTTTGTTGCATCTGGTGCTTTCAATGGTTTAGACAGAATTATCAGCAGGAGGAAAAATGAAAAGGTAAGTTTTTCTGAGGGGTTACTAGAAGGATAGAGAGCATTTAAAGGATGTACACTCAGTTTCCATTCTCATATCTGCGGGCTACCAGTCACAGTTTTAATTATAAGAGTTGAGTTTTCTTAGAGCATATCAGAAATATACAGGGAAGGGTGCAGTGACTCACACCTATAATCCCAGTTCTTTGGGAGGCCAAGGCGGGCAGATTGCCTGAGCTTAGGAGTTCAAGACCAGCCCGACCAACATGAAACCCTGTCTCTACTAAAGATACAAAAAATTAGCCTGTAGTGGGCACCTGTAATCCCAGCTACTCAGGCGGCTGAGGCAGGAGAATCACTTGAACCTGGGAGCTGGAGGTTGCAGTGAGCTGAGAT